ATTTGTTTCCATATATTTTTTTAAATTTCTTCTCTAACTGCCTGATTGGCCCATTCGTTCTTTAGTAGGGTGTTCTTTAACCTCCATGTTTTTGGAGGTTTTCCAGACTTCTTCCTGTGGTTAATTTCAAGTTTCATAGCATTGTGATCTGAAAATGTACATGGTATGATTGCAATTCTTTATATTTTTTGAGGGTTGCTTTATGTCCCGGTATGTGATCTATCTTGGAGAATGTGCCATGCGCACTTGAGAAGAAAATGAATTCCATGGCCTCAGGATGTAGAGTTCTAAATATATCTGTTAAGTCCATCTGGTCCAATGTGTCATTCAAGTCCATTGTTTCTTTAGTGATTTTCTGTCTAGTTGATCTGTCCATTGCTGGTAGTGGAGTATTAAAGTCCCCTGCTATTAGCACATTCTTATCTATCAGATTGTTTCTGTTTGTGATTGTTTCATGTATTTGGGTGTCTCCGTATTCAGTGAGTAGACATTTATAATTGTTAGCTCTTCCTGATGGATAGACCCTGTAATTATTATATAATGCCCTTCTTCATCCCTTGTTACTGCCTTTATTTTAAGTCCAGCTTGTCTGATATAAGTATAGCTAATCCAGCTTTCTTTTGACTTCCAGTAGCATGATAGATATTTCTCTATCCCCTTTCTTTTTTTTTTTTTACAAATAGTTTATTGTCAAATTAGTTTCCACATAACACTCAGTGCTCATCCCCACAAGTGTCCTCCTCCATGCCCATCCCCCCCTCCCCCCCACATCCATCAGTCCTCAGTTTTTGTCAGCATTCAAGAGTCTCTCATGGTTTGCCTCTCTCCCTTTCCCCCACCATTTCCGCCCTTCTTCTCCCCCTTGTTCCTCCGTCAAGTTCCTCCTAATCCTCCTATACGTGCAAACATAGGATATTTGTCCTTCTCTGCCTGACTTATTTCGCTCAGCATAACACCCTCAAGGTCCATCCATGTTGCTACACATGGCCAGATTTCATTGTTTCTCATTGCCATGTAGTATTCCATGGTATAGATAAACCACATCTTCTTGATCCATTCATCTGTTGATGGACACTTAGGCTGTTTCCATGTTTTGGCTATTGTGGAGAGTGCTGCTATGAACATTGGGGTACACGTGCTCCTATGCCTCAGCATTTCTGTATCCCTTTCTATCCCCTTACTTTCAATTTGAAGGTGTCCTCAGGTCTAAAATGAGTTTCTTATAGACAGCAAATAGATAGATTTTGGTTTTGTATCCATTCTGCTACCCTATGTCTTTTGATTGGAGCATTTAGTCCATTTACATTCAGTGTTATTATTGAAAAATATGGGTTTAGAGTCACTGTGTTCTTTGTGGGATTCATGATTGTGGTGGTGTTTCTGGTACCTTGTGTTCCTTGCAACATTTCCCTCATAGAGTCCCCCTCAGGATTTCTTGTAGGGCTGCTTTAGTAGTGACGAATTATTTCAATTTTTGTTTATTTAGAAAGACTTTTATCTCTCCTTCTATTCTGAATGACAGGCTTGCTGGATAGAGGATTCTTGGCTGCATATTTTTTCTGTTCATCACATTGAAGATCTCCTGCCATTCTTTTCTGGCCTGACAGGTCTGTCACCGCTCTGATAGGTTTCCCTTTGTATGTTAGGTCCCTTTTATCCCTCGCTGCTTTCAGAATTCTCTTTGTCCTTGTATTTTGCCAGTTTCACTATGAAATGTCGTGCAGAAGATTGATTCAAGTTATATCTGAGAGGAGTTCCCTGTGCCTCTTGGATTTCAATGTCTGTTTCCTTCCTCAGATTGGGGAAGTTCTCAGCTATAATTTGTTCAAGGACTCCTTCTGCGCCTTTCCCTCTTTCTTCCTCTTCTAGAATTCCTATGATATGGATATTGTTCCATTTTATTGTATCACTCAGCTCTCGAACTCTCCTTTCCTGTTTGGATCAGTTTGCCTCTCTTTTTCTTGGCTTCCTCTTTTTCTAGAATTGTTTCTTCTAATTCACCTATTCTCTTCTCTGCCTCTTCAGTCCGTGCATTGGACACCTCCATTTTATTATGCATCACATTTTTTAATTTTTTAAATTTAATTTTTTAAATTAAAAATTAAATTAATTTTTTAAATTTAAAAATCTGCATTTTTTAATTCATCACAACTATTTTTAAGCTCCATGGTCTTTGTAGCATTAGTTTCTCTGATGTCTTCCATGCCTTTTTCAAGCCCAGTGATTAATTTTATGACTATTGTTCTCAATTCTTGTTCAGTTATATTGCTTATATCTGTTTTGAGCAGTTCTTTAGCTGTCATTTCTTCCTGGAATTTCTTTAGAGGAGATTTTTTTCCATTTCGTCATTTTGGCTAGCTTTCTGTCTCTTGTTAGTTTTAAAAGCTTGTTATGCACTCTCCACCTACGAGTACTGCTGTATTAAAGAAGGCTCTTTGACTTTCCAAGGCCTGTCCATTCAGGAAGTGTTTTTTGAATGGTGTCTCTTGGTCTCTCTTGTTGAGACTTTGGTTACTTTATTTCCCTACTCGTAGTGGCATTTGGGACTCTCCACCATGTGTACTTTGGCTTGTTTCTTGAGGTAGCCCTGGAAAAGAAAACAGACCGACAAACACACAGGGAACAAAGACACACAAACACACTGACAAATCCAACAAACACTCAAACCGAAAGGGAAAAAGAAAAAGAAAGGAAAAAAAGAAGGAAGGAAAAAAAAAAGAGGAAGGAGGAAAAACAAATAATAAAAATAAAAATGAAAAAGAAGGAAAAACAAAAGAAAAAACCCAAAAGACAAAGGACAGTCTAAAAGCATAAAACCAGGGGCGCCTGGATGGCTCAGAGGTTAAGTGTCCGGCTTCAGCTCAGGTCATGATCTCGTGGTTCGTGGGTTCGAGACCCGCATCGGGCTCTGTGCTGACAGCTAGCTCAGAGCCTGGAGCCCATTTCGGATTCTATGTCTCCCTCTCTCTCTGACCCTTCCCTGCGCGCTCTCGCTCTCTCTCTCTCTTTCTCTCTCTCTCTCAGAAATTTAAAAAAAAATTGAAAATAAATAAATACAAACATAATACCAGAATTCCCAGCTACAAATAAAGAGCCGGGTGTATGCAGTGCTGATGGAAGAGCATATGCAAAGAGAAATGACATGGTGGGTAGGAAGGGAAATTGGAAGAGAAATGACCAGGTGGAAAGACTAAGAGGCTTAATTGAGAGAGAGAAAGAGGAGAATATGGTTAGAGGCGAGGAGAAAGAAATGAAGATAATGTTACTCAGAGAAACTATATAGTCTGATTACTCCAGAGAGACAGAGATAGAAAGGTAGTGGTGGAGGTGTAGAATATACATCTAGATAATGGATTAAATGTGACTGTTTAAGCAAACCAGTGACCAGAGTGCCCAGTCCAGCAGAGGGGAGTGGTAAGAATGAGACAAGGGAGAATATATCTGAATAGAAAGAATTGATCTAGAATCAAACACAGCAGTGCATCCATGTTGGTCTTGCCCCGGGCTCTGGGGTGGGGGTGGGGGGAGGCAGGGAAAGCAGCTCTCTTGGCAGGTCTTAGTCTCCACTGCGTCCCACCAGCTGCTCCCTGAGGCCCCACTTTGTGGTTGTGGGGAGAAAAATGGTGGCGCCCCAGTCCCTTCTCTAACCAGGTGTTGCAACTCACTCTTTTGGGTTTGATCTCCCTGTGTCACAGGTGCAGCCAAGGTGGGCGGTGTACTGTGTCCCAAGCCTCACCTTGTTTGTAGGTCCCAGCCCGCGCGCTTTATTGATACCGCCCAAAACAGCAAAACAGTGCCGCAGGTCGAGGCTTCCCTGCCACCAGGGGTGGAGGTGGGGGCGGGGGGGGGGGAGAGGTGGCGCAGTTTCTCCTGGTGCCGCCTGGGACTGGGGGTACCCAGTTCAAAGTCAGCACTCCAACTAGAACTAAGAACAGTTTCCATCCGGGTCGAGGTTTTTCTCTTCTCCAGGGACAGTTCTATGAGCAGTTTCAGCTGCTCTTTCTTTTCCCCTCCACTCATCGCGGCTCCCGGCAAGGGGGGCTCCCTCCCTTCCCTCCGTGTCTCCAATCCCGGCCCGCTTTTATCTTCCCCAGTTGGCGCTCACCCACTTATGAGGTTGCCTTCCCAGTGTACTCTGTCTCTTTCTCTTCCCAAACTCCTGTGGCTCAGTGTCCTACGACTTCAGGCCTTCTCTGTTTGAGAGATGGGGGTGAGCAAAACGCGCGGAGCTCCCTACTTCTCCGCCATCTTGCCTCCTACCCTTCAATCATCTTAACAGGGTCAACATTTACTTATTTTTGAGAGGGAGACAGAGACAGACTGCAAGCAGGGAAGGGGCAGAGAGAGACAGAGACACAGAATCCAAAGCAAGCTCCAGGCTCCACTCTGTCAGCACAGAGCCCGACGAGTGGCTTGTGTGTCATGAGTTCATGACCTAAGCCAAAGTCCGGTGCTTAACCGACTAAGCCACTCAAGCGCCCCTTTATTTATAGTTTTCTAAAGGGTCTTATTTTTACCTAATAAACATATATTTCTTTTTTAATCAGAAACAAATTCCATTTGGGAAAAATATTAACGGATAGGCACGAGAAGAGAAGCTTGTGAAGGAGAGGAGGAAGGAATACTTCATCCAAGAGGCAGAAAGAGAACCAGGAGACAATAGTGATCTGAGCAGGAGGGATAAGAAACTTTCCAAGAGGAACAAGTGGGTAGTAACAGTGTTTAATACAGTGCAACCGTCAAATAATGTAAGGCCTGGGAGCTATCCACTAAATTTCACAATTGCTTAAATGAGAACAGTTTCAGTGGAGCATGGGAGGTAGAATCCAGATTGCAGTGGACTGAGAATGCAATCAGAGCTGGAGAAGTGGAAACATTTAGTAGAGACTGTTCTTTTGATAAACTTGCCTAAGAAAGAAATGTAGTAGGTAGAGGGCAATGCATTGTCAAAAAAGGGTTTGTTTGTCTGTCTGTTTGCTTGTTTGTTTGTTTGTTTAAAGGGAGAAGAGACCTGACCAAGTTTAAAAGCCAGGGGAGGGATTTCATTGGAAGTGGGAAGTTGAATATACAGGTAAGTAAAGGGACAAGGCTTAAAATAAAATAGCTCTAGGAGAATTGTGCAAGTTAAATTCATAATGAGGTGTAAATACATGGTCTTTTTTTTTTTTTTTAAGAGAAAGATTTGATGGGGAGGGAGAGGAGAGTAGAGGGTACTGGGCTAATTAAATCCTTTGCAGTAACAACAGATAACAGCTGTTACCAGCTGGCTCGCCAGGGCCCTCTCTCACACACACAATTTTTTGTTTTTCATGAGAGGCACAGAGCTTCACAGTTACCAAGTGATGTTGAACAAGGCACAGTTATCCTGTGTACCTCAATTATCACACCAAGAAAAAATAGCCCTGTCAAATCTCTTGGCAAACAGGTGACATCAAAACTCAATGGTCACATTGGGTTTCCTTGACCACACTCGTTCTTTGCTAGAAGGAGTCCAGCGTGGGGGTAAAAAACACAAACGATAGAGATGTCGGACCCTTAAATTTGAAGGAATCTCATCCTCCTGCCCATAAGGAATATTGCACCTTTATCAAACACATATCAGTGTGCTTGGATGGCTCGGTTGGTTAAGCATCCAACTCTTGGTTTCGACTCAGGCCATGATCTCATGGTTCGTGGGATTGATCCCTGCATCGGGCTCTGTGCTGGTAGCTCAGAGCCTGCTTGGGATTCTCTCTCTCCTCTCTCTCTCCCCCCTCCCCCCTCAATGTAAATAAATATACATTTAAAAAAAAAAAACCTATCCATCTTCCCGCTCTTAATTTTTTCCAAAAGGAGATTGCACAATCTCCAACTCAGTGTTATGCAATCATACTGACAAGAAGTTCTTTCTAGTCTTTATTCAGGCTGTCCTGGGGAAACGGCAAATCAAAAGCGCCTGTAATTTGGGGTGTTTGTGTTCTTGGGAGCACAGATCTGGAACTGCCAGCAGGGAGTAGGGAGAAGGTCTGAGTGTAAAAAATATAGGTCAGTGAGGAAAACCAGAGAGCAGCACTCATAACATACAATTTCTATTCCAGGGAATGTGGATCCAGAGTTTAGCTGCCTTTCTGTAGAGCCCTGCTTTCTTTCCACACACACCTATCTAGCTGCCTACTTCTATTATTGACTTCTCCCCTTCCTGAAGTTTATTTAACCCTAATTTCGGCTGGCACCTCCCTAGGGATAAGTCTACTTAAAATCCCTTCTGAAAGTTGTCAGTTCCCACTCTGTGTTGATGAAGTGTCCATTAAATTCCCAACTTGTCTAATTAAGTTGGAGATGATTGTATTTATTTTACTAAAATCTCTGGATGGCCCAGGGTTGAGAGCAATTTGGGAAAAAGTGGTTTGGCCTAAGTGTGTGAGCATCTATGCAGGTTTGACAAGGGTGTGTTGCCAAAGACCTAACTCTCTAGCTGACATGAGTCTGTCCTCTGGCTTCTGTATAGATGTTTGCTAATTATATAATGAATTATACAGCAACACTAAGACCTAGAAAGATAACAATGTTTCAGTTAGTCAGCTTTCTTTCCTTAATAAAAACTAACATTGGGACACCTGGGTGACTCACTCTCACTGGGTGGCTGACATTGAATACTTACTATATGCCAAGCACTCTTTTAATATATATATATAAACTCTGTTAATCCTCAAAACAAGCATATGACATATGGGCTGTTTTTATATCTGCATTTTATTGGTGATGCATGAATAGATTAAGCAACTTGTCCAAAATCACACAGCTAATAAGTGCTAAAGTCAGGGTTTGAATCCAGGCAGTCTGGTTTTGGAGCCCAGGTTTTTAAAATGCCTCTCAAGGAAGATTAGCCGCTGTATGTCACCATAAAGGGAATAATATGAAAAAAAAATAGAAAAGGGAAAAGGAGGGGTGCCAGGGTGGCTCAGTCGGTTAAGTGTCCGACTTCAGCTCAGGTCATGATCTCACAGTTTGTGGGTTCGAGCCCCGCGTCAGGCTCTGTGCTGACAGCTCAGAGCCTGGAGCCTGCTTCGGATTCTGTGTCTCCCCTCTCTCTGCCCGTTCCCTGTTCATGCTCTGTCTCTGTTTCTCAATAATAAATAAATGTTAAAAAATTTTTTAAAACAAAAAAGAAAAGGGAAAAGGAGAGAAAGAATAAAAGTGTATATGGTGGGAAGGGGTAAAATGTTACTAACAACTACTTAGTAACATTCTGGTATAAGTTGCCTACTCTTGCTTAGATGTTGTTTTTCATCTGTTTGGTCTTTTGCCTGAACGTTTTTGTGTTGAATTCTATTTTCTTAATAACTATGGGAACCTCAAGCCTATTTAATTTCTGCCTATCCTTCAAAGCCAAGTGCTGATCCCACCTCCTCCATAAAGCCTCCATATCTATCCAGTCTACAGTAAATTTAAAAATTTTTACAGACTTCTTGTCTGTAATGTTCATTTGGCTCTGACTCGCATTCTTTCTTTTTTTTTTTTTTTTTTAAGTAGGCTCCATGCCCAATGTGGGGCTTGAACTCACAACCCTGAGATTAAGAGTCTCATGCTCCACCAGCTGAGCCAGCCAGGCGCCCATCTGACTCGCATTCTTTCTTTTTTTCTTTTTCTTTTTTTTTTTTTTAATTTATTTACTTAGAGAGAGATAGAGGGGGAAAATGCGTGCGTGAGCACAGGAGGGGCAGAGAGAGAGGAAGAGAGAGAATCCCAAGCAGGCTCCATCCAGATGCAGGGCTTGATCTAAGGAACCCATGAGATCTTGACCAGAGCCAAAATCAAGAGTCAGAAGCTTAACCGACTGAGCCATCCAGGCGCCCCAGACGTGCATTCTTAATTAACCATGTGTGCCTTTATGTCTCATCTTACCAACCATACTGTAAACTCTCCAAGGGAAGAGACTAAAACTTCTATTTCTCTTGCATCTTGTGTCCCCCATAATGCCTAGCACAATGTCTTGCAAATAATAGACATTTAGTAAATATTTGTTGGTTGGTTGATTGAAAAATGTCAGGGTCTGTATCAAATCTTGGTTAACCCATGCATCATTTAATAAAGAATTATGCACTTAACATGTACTCAGGAACATTAATAATGATTACCAAGTCATTCAAAAAGTCTTCATAGAGTTTCTACAGTGTGTAGAGAATGGTGCTGTGAGGATAGAAATGAAATAAAAGAATACAGCTTCTACCTTTGAAGAGCTCAGATTAGTGTTCTCTTACTAACTCAATGCCTACTACTATCTCCTTTCTCTGAATTCCTGCTGCATTTGAAGTCAGGACTAGCAATCACTCAGTTGTTATCTCCTCCAGTTTGATTGTGAGCTCCTCGAAGGAAATGTATAGCACTGTGCTGGGAACATAATAGAATTGTAAAACTGGAAGGGACATTAGAGCTTTCCCTATCGTCAAACTTCCCACCCAGCACAAGAGTCCCTTTTGCAACAGCCCTGATCCAGCTCTTATTTAATTATACGCTTCCAGTATCAGGAATTAACCAAAATAGGAAACATAGGAGGAAGAGTAGGTTCAGGGGCTAGATAATGAGTTGGATTTTTGACTACGTGCAGTTTAATGTGATTGTTAGGCAACCAGGTAGAGACAAACAGCTGAAATTCAAGTCTCAATATCAGGAGAGAGGTCAGGGCTGAAGATAGAGATTTAGGAGTCTTGGCATGCATGTACGTTGTAGTTGAAACACTAAGATTGAGTAAGACTGCCAAGGACAAGAAAAGAAACGGCACCAAGGACAAAGTCTCTGAAAATTCCTCTACCTGGAAAATGAGAGGAGAAATCAATGAGGTGGAAGATCTGGAAGACAAAAGAGAGAGTCGTAAGGAGAGGCTGGTCACCAGAGTCAATGGAGAATGGAGCAATGAAGTTACAGAGGTATAAGACTGAGATAAATTTATTTGATCTGGTGATTAAGAAGACACACCTTTGACAACCTTAAAGAGAGCACTCTTAGTGAAGTGGGCTCTACTTTTACTTACTCTTGTTAACCCCTAATGCCTGGCACAATGCCTGGTTTAATGCATATTTGTTGAATAGCTGAATGAATAGACGGATGAATTGTAGTTCCTGTCCAAAACAGGAGGTGATGAGAAAAAGTAAACAAGTTACCCCTTTTTCCTCTGAAGAAGAGAATATGAGTGATAATTTGGAGAAATGTTAAGGTGAAAAAGAGAGAAATTGAGGGCTATGATTTCCCCCCAAAATAGGAAGTAAGCTCATCTGAGAATCTCTCAGATTCCATTCTCAGTTTGATTGAGTAAACTCTCAATAGGTAGCAACTATAAACTCTGAGTAACACACACACACACACACACACACACACACACACACACACACACCTGAAACTTCCAAACAGTCAACAAAAGCAGGCAGATATTGAAGAGCTTGGAAGAAGGGAACAGCATAGAACAAGTTTCCCATTTTTATGGCTTTAGCCTGAGGGCAGACAGCAGTCATCGTCCACACCACTAGAACTACATCAGGAAACCCTCATCTTTCTAACCTGAAGAACAAGAGGACAGGGCCTGGGGCAACCACAATTTCTAGAAAGTGAGGGGATATTTCAGAAAGAGATTCTGAGAAAAGGAGCCTTAAATTATCTGTATGAAATCTTCCCAAGACTTAACCTGAACCATGTATGCATTGATAGGGCGGACTCAAAGCAGCTTCCATCTAAGACAAACAGAACTGAGATTTGAGCTGGACCTATGACAGGGAAGGCAGAGTTTTCAGTTCGAATTTAACCAAGCTAATTGCCCGCTGAAACAAATACATCCACACTCTTCAGAGGAATATAACAAAATCGAGTCTCTACAACAGAGCATTCACAAAGTTTTGGAAGCCGTCTAAAATTATTCAATATATAAAGAATCAGGGAAATGTGACCCATTCTCAAACGAAAAAACAATTGATGGAAGCTAACCCTGATATGACAATGCTTGAAGAGGATGGAAAAACACCCTAGTAATGAATGAAAAAGGTAGGAAACTTCAGCAGAAAAATAGAAAATATAAAAAAGAACTAAAAGGAAATTCTAGAATTGAAAAACATGATATCTGAAATAAAAAATTAACTAGATGGACTTAAAATCAGGGTTAAGTAACAGAAGAAGGAATCAATGTACTTTAAGATATGGTAATAGAGAGTAACCTAAAGACTAAAGGATTGAGGGGCGCCTGGGTGGCTCAGTCAGTTGAGCGTCCAACTTCGGCTCAGGTCATGATCTCATGGTTTGTGGGTTCGGGCCCCGCATCGGGCTCTGTGCTGACAGCTAGCTCAGAGCCTGGAGCTTGTTTCAGATTCTGTATCTCCCTCTCTCTCTGATCCTCCCCTGCTCTCTCTCTCTCTCAGAAATAAATATAACATTAAAAAAAAAGACAAAAGGATTGAAAAAAGTGCACAGAGTCTTGCAGACCTGTGGGACAGCACAAGAGGTCTAACATATGTGTTACTGGAGTCCCTGAAGAAGGGGGAAAAGAAAATGGGGTCAGAAACATTATTGGAAGAAATAATGATTGAATGCTTCCCAAATTTGGCAAAAAACAACATTTACAGATTCAAGCTCAGCGAAGCCCAAACAGGATAAATATGGAGAAAACTGCACCTATGTGTAACATAGTCAAATTCTTGATAACCAAAGATCAAGAGAAAATCTTGAAAGCAATGAGAGAAAAAAAAATGCATTACATATAGTGATCCAAATAGCAATGGGCTTTTCAGAAACTATGGATGCTAGAGACAGTAGAAAAATCTCTGTAAATTGCTGGGGGCAGAGAGGGGGGAATCACTGTCAACCAGAATTCTATGTTTAGTAAAAATATTATTCAAGAACAAAAGCAAAATAAAGACAGTTTCAAGTAAAAGAGAGTCTCTCTTAGGCTTAAAAGTCTTTATTTAGTCTTGCTGTTTGCCCTGTCTGGAACACACAGTCTCTGCCCCACTCCCATCCCTATCTTCAGCTTGCCTCATAGAATCCATCCTGATCCCCCAAGGCCAAATTAGATGCCTTTCTTTTATTTTTTCAAAGGTTCATTTATTTATTTTGAGATAAAGAGAGGGAGAGAGAATCCAAGCAGGCTCTGCGCTGTCAGCACAGAGCCCGATGCAGGACTTGATCTCACCAACCGTGAGATCATGACCTGAGTCAAAATCAAGAGTGGGGCACTTAACCAACTGAGCTACCAGGCACCCCAGATGCCCCTCTTTTATACACCTATAGTCCCTCATATTTCCCCAGTTCTTAGGATTTATCCTGCTGTATGTAATTGCTTGTTTACTTGCCTGTGAACTCCACTACACTATATGATGCACGAGGGCAAGCATTTTGTTTTTCTTATTGGTGTATTTATAGTCCCAGGCATGCAATGGGCCCTCAGTTAATATTTATTGAATAAAGGAAAAATAAGATCTGATTCCAAAGTATTTTTTTTCTACCACACCAGGCTGTCATCATGGAGAGAAAGGTCCTGACACTACTATAAGATTCACTATTACTATACTCTTTTAAACTGTATGGAGAAATATACTTTTCTCTGAAAAACTGCAGCTTTGATTGAACTATCATTACCCTATGAATTACATGGGCAGTTACTGTTTGGGGGCAATCTATATGTACTGAACAGAGATCCTTGGCAATTAATGCTTGTGAAAATCCTCATTTTAACACTACTTCAAGAAAATGGTTAGCAATATGGAAATGAGGAAACTATGGTACATCCAACTGATAGACTATTATGCCAATACTAAAATTATATTTATCAACGGTGTAATCATCTGAAAACATCCTTATATGTTAGGTGGGGGGGGGTGTGGGAAAACCTGAAATACAAAATTATACATATAGTGTGATTATAACAATATTTTTTAAAACTCTACATAGAACAGGGGTGCCTGGCTGGCTCAGTCAGTAGAGCATACAACTCTTGATCTTAGGGTCGTGAGTTGAAGCCCGCATTGGTGGTGGAGTTTACTTAAAAATATTTATGTAGAAGGAGAAAATAACACTGGAAAGAAATATAGTGAAAGTTACTGTAGTTTTCATTGGGTGATGGAACTATGGGCAGATTAAATATTTTTGTCCGTATTTTACAATTTTTCTGTAATAAATACATATCACTCCTCTGGTAGGTGGGGGGAGAAAGTCTCAGGGGAGGAAGAAGTCCCCTGGTACACCAGACCACAGTCTCAAGGAAAACAGGACTGTGGTTAAGCCTTTTTTCTCTTTAACTTCTATCTTAACGGCCTCATACCACTTATGGATTAACTGGGTATATGACCTTCTGGAAGGATGCTAGAAGACTGGCCTCAGGAAAAGAAGAAAGGGGCTCAACAGAGGAAACTGCCAGAGGCAGGAAAAAAGAGACTAAGCAAAGAGATCAGAGAAAGTAAACATAAAAGAACAGGAAACGGGAGGGGGAGGGCAAGACAAGAAGACAGGTATACTCTCATATATTGGCATCCGAATGAAAAAGAGGACTTAGTCATGGATTTTTATGACAGGCATAGCTAGCATATTTTTCATGTTATTTTCTTATTGTCTGTATTAAAAGCTTGTGTATTGGTGCTTTGTGCCTCACTCTTCCTTCTAGAGGCAGGCTGTGTATTTCTTCAGCCAACACGTGCTGTCATATCTGCCTGATGCTGCCAGGGGAGATCAGCTAGACATTAGATCTGGACATTCTGGAGCCTACTCTGGGAGCAAATTGCACAACCACGTGCCTATCTGTGTGAGCTATAGATTTAGCAAGTTACATGGGACAGTCAGGAACCTTCTGGTTGATAAAGGAGATCTGGATGGGGATTCAGGGAGTCCCAGTGGAATTTGTGGAAAACAAGAAAGTACATCAGTTCCATCTGGCTCTAAACTCCATCTGTGACACACAACTCAACTAACTGAACACCACTGACTCGTAGCCTTAGACTGGTTTTGTAAGATGTCTGTATTATTCTGCTGATTTTGTATACTACTTCTGACATTTTTGAAGATTTTCCTGGGCTAGTGGGATGACCGATGGGGTATTTTAGTTTATTAACTGTCAATTGAAGGTGCTAGGATTAGAAATGATTTTCTACATGGTTTGGTTTGAGTGTAGTCATTCTCAGAAAGGCAGGCTTTCTGGCAACTTTGTTTTTTCCGTCTGATAATCCGTCTTTTAACCCATCTGGGAACTAGGAACAAGGAGACTTAACCTTAAAAAAGGACATGTAAAAGGCCCAATACAAGAGCTTAGCATCATCCATTGACTGTTAGAGGGTAGACACAACTGTCCTAGAGCTCCTGATCATGTAATTTGTAGTATAAAGAACTGTGGCTTCCATTATCCTGTGCAAGAGTCTTGTACCATCCAATACTGTATCCACTAGCCACATGTGACCAAGTTTAAATTAAAGTTAAATAAAATTAAAACTCAGCTTCTCAGTTTCCTGGCCACATTTCAAATGTTCACTGGGCACATGTGGCTAGTGGCTACTGTATCGGACAGGGCAGCTATAGAATATTTCCAACATCACAGAGTTCTACTGGATAGCATTGTGAATATAGCCTCACAGAATGGTGATGCATGGGGACCAAGCATCTCTGTGTCTGCCAGTAAAGCGGCTTATTTTTTCTTCAGACTGTCTCTTTGCATTGATATACTCAGAGTGACTAGGAAAGTTGAGGCAGTTAAGCAGACTTGTTAGTCCTCTTCACACACACACACACACACACCACACACACACACACACACACACACATTCTCCTTTAGGGAATGGCTAAATAAACGTAGCATAGTCATTAAATGAAATATTAGATAACAGTTATGGGGCATGAACTACATATATCAATAAGGATAAATCTTAAAAACTTTTTGTGTGAAAAAAGCCAGTTGCCGAATGCAATCATTTCTTGTACACAAAACAATACTACGTTTTTCCTCCATAGGAGTATTTTTTAAGATCTGGAAGAATACATATCAAACTCATGACACTGGTAACTTCATGGAGGGATAAAGGTAAATGGGATAAGGGACCAAAAGGACATTTAACTGTTTCTACAATGTTCTACATTTTTAGAAAGATTTTATTTTTAAGTAATCTCTACACCCAATGTAGGGCTTGAACTTATAGCCCCGAGATCAACAGTTGCAAGCCAGGTGCCCCTGTAATGTTCTAAATTTTTAAAGAAAACATATTCAGGTATTACTTGTGTAATTATAATTATTAAAACAGGACATAAACGCATATACAAAATATGAATATAAACATGAGAAAATGTGGTCGTGAAAAAATGAGGGAAATACACAAAACTCTAATGCCGATCATGTTGAGATGGTGGGATTATGTGTAATTGTTTTCTTCTATTTCTCTATTTTTAAAGAGTTTTTGTCTTGTGGTTGTAATGTTCATATAATAAAAATTTTTAATAAAAAATGAATCCACCTTTCTGCTGCAGACGTAGTATTATCACATATCAGGCATAGCTCTTAAGAGGCAATTGGCTCTGGTACATAATTAGTGCCAGAAATAACAGTTCAACATCATTTTTGTAAAACAAACAAACAAACAAAAAAACCAGTTAATTGTCCTTGGTGGCAGTCTCCAAAATTCAATTGGTCAAAATAAAACCCCACTCTGCAGCTAATTCATACTGGCAGGCACACTGGGACCCTACAGTTCGTAAAACCAGAGGTTCCATTAGAATATTTATGAGACTTCCCTTCTTATACCCAGGCCACTTGACTGGTTATGGGCTTTGAAAATTGCTCAAATCAAAAATCCCTCTTCTGTTCTGTGGAACTCAGATCCAAAAGCTGCTTCCTAGAAAAAATACGGTTTTCACCTGCACCCTACCTCCACAGAGAAGTGAGGTAAACTTCCATGGAAGACAACAACGCTGGCCAGGCTTCTCAACTTTCAAGCCAGAATGTAAACCCTGTCACCCAACCACCTGTTCATCAGGCTTCCAAAACATATGGATCCTGCCTCAGTCGACAACAGAGCATACCAACACTTCTGGCCTTCACCAGAGAAGTGTAGTCAGCCTCTGAGGTTCTGTCAAAAGCCTGGCTGTGGGAAGAGATATTTATGGAATATATTGTAAGGGACATTCTATCCATCCACTCCTTTAGGTGGCATTTTAAATTGTGCCCTCAGATCAAGTTAAAGCACCAGAAGGTTACATGCCTGAACCGTATTAGCTCAGCCCCTGCAGAAATGCTTTAATGTTACACCCTTGGCTTTTAGCCAGGGTAGTTACCAGCAAGTAGTATGAAAATCTCTTCTCTGTGTGTTATGAAACTGTTATTGAGGACATTGTCCTTTATGTTAATCCCATATGAGAAATTTCTTATGGAATTTAGTGCCAGCAATGAACCATTATGTAGCTGTTGAAAATTGTAATTCTGGAAGACTAAATATGAAAGCATGTTTACGATATGTTCATTGAAAAAAAAAACCAACACAAAATGGTAGATAGACTCTAATTGCAGCCATGTAAAATTATTTGTGTCTGTGGATGAGGACCGAAAGCTGATAGGCAAAGATGAAAATTGTACAAGGGCAATGGGATTGCAAATGTTTTGTTTGTTCAAGAACTTTTGCTTGCTGTCAGCCTGTCTTTTCAATTGGGAGAAGAAAAGAATTTAGTGACAGGGGAATCTCTGTCTCTCTTGGGGAATTGCTATGTGTCTTCCTTTCTGATAACAAGAATTGTCATGTCCCCCCTTTCCCCTGGCTTCCCAAAAAGGTGGACTTAATGATTGGTCATGACACATTAGCTCCTCCTACCTTTCCATGCCTCTGATGTTCTATTTGTACAATCTTATAATATTTGTACTTTTTTGGGGGTAAAGTGCCCAAATCCCTTATAGAAAGAGGCAAGCCATAAAGCATTTCCCCCTCTTTCTTTTTCTTTCTTTCATTTTTTTTCCCACTTTAAAAACTATACACATAGTAAAGTGGAAATATATAAGAAAGTAACAAGAAGTAAAATACCCACTGGCAACACTTTTTGGTATTTCTTCCTATTTTTTCCTCAATGTATTTTACACAAAATTATGAGCATGTAGCATATAAAGTATCACATCCTGCTCTTTTCATGTAACATTAAAATATAAGCATGTAAAAAATAAATAAAATAAAACACAGATGTGTTTTCCTATATTGGAAACTCTTATGGTTCATAACCCCGGTAAATATCATGCCAGTAGGACTTTCTTTTTTTCCCCCAGGAGGACTTCTAAAGGTTGGAGCCACTGAGGCTGCAGGAAGCATTAAAGATGAAGCTGGAGGGGCACCTGGGTGGCTCAGTCTATTGGGCATCTGATTTTGGCTCAGGTCATGATCTCACAGTTGGTGAGTTCAAGCCCCGCATTGGGCTTTCTGCTGTCAGCACAGGGCCCACTTTGGATCCTCTGTCCCCTTCTGTCTCTGCCCCTCCCCTGCTCTCTCTCTCTCTCTCAAATAAATAAACTTTTTTTTTTTTAAAAAAGACGAAGCCAGAAAGACCCAGAAATTCAGTTCAGGTGAGCCCCAAACCTCAGAGATTGGAAGTTTTGTGGACCTTATTCCTGCAGGGCCCAGAACTGAATTACGGGCTGTGAAGCATAAGCTCGGGGAAGCCTGAGGCCAGAAGGGTAATCTGGGGTTTTGTACCCAGATTGGAGATCACAGGAAATAGGATTTTAGAGCTAGGAAAGATGTTAGCTGTCATCTAACATAATACACTCATTTACAACTGAAGAAACCAAAGCCAGAAGCCAGACAAATTGACTGGTGCAGGCTGTGGAGTTGGAATGCTGGTATCTGTCCCTCTGCTCTACCACTTAGTAACAGTGGACAGTAAGTAGATGCCTTTACCCTCTCCAGGTCTCATTTTCCTCTGTGAAAGGAGAATAGTCACAGCATTTAACTTACATGTGTATTGTGTGGATAAAATCAGATAATCCACATAAAGCACTGAGTGCAGTACCCAACACATAATAAAAACTCAATAAATGTTACTTTTTAGTAGCAGTGTTACTATTATCATTATTCAACTAGTTAGTGACAGAACTATGACAAGGTCTCAGGGTGCCTGGGTGGCTCAGTCGTTTAAGCCTCCAACTTTGGCTCAGGTCATAATCTCCGTTCATGAGTTTGAGCCCCCTGGTTTGGATTCTGTGGCGTCCTCCATCTCTACCCCTCCCCTGATCACGATCTCTCTCTCTCTCTCTCTCTCTCTCTCTCTCAAAAAGAAACATTAAAAAAAGAACTGTGACAAGGTCTCACATCTCCTGACTCAAGCTAGTGCTCTTTTTTTTTTAAATCCAGATTTCTGGCTTTTTAAAAATTTATTTTGTTTTATTTTTTAAAGTTTATTTTGAGGGGGGAGAGAGAGAGAGAAAGAGAGAGAGAGAGAAAGATAGAACAAGCAGGGGGTGACAGAGAGAGAGAGAGAGAGAATCCCAAGCAGGCCCCGCACCGCCAATGCAGAGACCTATGTGGTGCTTGAACTCACAAACCCATGAGATCATGACCTGAGTGGAAACCAAGAGTCTGACCTTAACCAGCTGCACCATCCAGGAGCCCTAGTGTTCTTTTCACTGTATTAGACTGACTTCCAGGGTCTAGAAAGGACTGAAAGTTGCCTTGAACTTAGTAGTGCTACCAACTCAAATCTACTTGGGGCTAAACCTAAAGACTTTAGTCTGGGGTACACTTTATGTAAAAGCACTTAGCTTGGTGTCTGGAAAAGAGTAGGCTCGTATCAAAGGTTTCTTGGGGAGCCTGGGTGGCTCAGTGGGTTAAATGCCTGACTGTGGCTCAGGTCATGTTCTCTCAGTCTGTGGGTTAGAGCCCACATCAGGCTCTGTGCTGACAGCTTAGAGCCTGGAGCTTGCGTTGGATTCTGTGTCTCCCTCTCTCTCTCTGCCTCTTCCCTGCTCTCGCTCTGTCTCTCTCAAAAATAAACATCAATCAATCAATCAATAAGAAAGCTATATATAAAAAAAGAAAGGTTTCTTAACTGAGATTTTTTTTTTAAATGTTTTATTTATTTCTAGGAGAGAGAGAGAGAGACAGCGTGAGCAGGGGAGGGCCAGAGAGAGAGGGAGTCACAGACTGAAACAGGCTCCAGGCTCTGAGCTGGCAGTCAGCACAGAGCCCGACGCGTGGCTCGAACCCACGAACCGCGAGATCATGACCTAAGCGAAAGTCGGACGCTTAACCGACTAAGCCACCCAGGCGCCCCATTAACTGAGAAGATTTTTAAAACCGGTGACAGTGTTGGGAGGGTGGTACTGGCTTCTAAGAGAAGGACCAGCAATCTTTCACAGACGCACAGAAGGAAGGGCTTGGGGAAGAGGGCTACCAAAACTATGTACATTCCATACGTGTCTGTGAAGACCAGAGACAAGTAGAGGTGGTGCTTTCTGAGATTCCTCAAACTTTCTCATTGTTAGTTTTGTTAACCCTTGCATCTTTCCCTGTAGTTACTAGCAAAAAGAAAAAAAAAATATCCTATACAAACTCACGGTAGGGGTTGTGTGATTTTTCAGAGTTCGGCAGGATAAGAAAGAAATGGGGAACTACCTATCTCCGTTCAAATTAATAAAGCCAATTGGGCGGCAGGGTTGGGGGGTGGCACTCAGGTAGAAAAGTGGGCGGTGACGGCGAAAGAGGCAAGAGAGTCATACTCCTCTATGACCTTCAAGAGGAAAAAAGCAAGTCCTGAATGAGGAGCCAGTTGAGACCATAAACTCTGGGGCTACAACTGGGAAAAAGGCCTGTGCTGCCACCCCCTCCCCATAGCCTGCCATATCTGTTCATAATTCATCACTACAGTGGTTAGTCCTCTTTCCTGACCAATGTCTTTTCTATGTTCTAAGGCCACCTCGCTAACTCTGTCCCTTGACTAATGTATAGTCTTTTTAAAAAAAAATTTTTTTTAATGTTTGTTTTTGAGAGAGAGAGAGAGAGAGAGAGAGAGAGAGAGAGAGCGCGAGCAAGCAGGAGAGGAGACACGGCTTCAGGCTCTGAGCTGTCAGCACAGAGCCTGATGCAGGGCTCAAACTCACAAACTGGGAGATCATGACCTGAGCCGAAGTCATATGCTTCTCCGACTGAGCCACCCAGGTGCCCCTAATGTATATTCTAACACTCCCACAGTAATAAGGTGAATAACCTTGACTTCCCCAGATACAAGCTTTAAAGTAGCCGTGTCTTTTACTATTGTACAGGTCCTTTAAGTCACCTTCCTAAATCATCTGGTCCTATGGGTTAAGGTCATTTTTGTCTTTCTGGGATTCCAAGCCATATTCTCATCTTAACAGTAAAGTATTTGTTGATTGATTTCAGAGTTTATAATCAAGTTGGGGAGACAATATGCCCTCAGGAGATGAAAAGCTATGTAACTGCAAGCACAAAATTAGAGAATACAAACTGATCTCATAGAGGTTCAGGAGATGCAAAGCAGGCAAGTGATCTGTCAGGTTGGGCTAGTCGGGGAAAGTGTCCAAAAGCATGTAGGTTTTGAGCTTTGAATTGGAAATTTAAGGAGGTGATGGACAGGAGTTGGTGGGGGAGGTGGACCTTTTGAAACAAATGCACATGGGAGACAATGCAAGATAGAACTCAAGCCAGGACATGTGCCTGCCCCACCCTTGCCATTTCCCTGGCTCAGAAGCTCTGTGCGATCTGTCACCACACCTGTTTCAGGTCGAAGAGAGCTTCTTGGGACCTAGTGGCCACAGGCCCTCTCCTCTATCAAATTCACCATTCCCACAGCACTTACCAAATACTCCAGGCTGTGCTACAGGAGGAAGAGTCATATACATGACATGTTTACAGGCATTGTGAGCAACTATGTCCCATGTCTCCAGTCTGGACCTCAGGTAGGAATACATGGTCTTCTATTTACCCTGTATAGGACATATGGAGCATAAATACATTTTGGAGTAGAAGGAGGCAGGAGTATATAGAACCAAGATGGTAGGTAACCTTACCATGAGTAGCCTAATATCACTTTGAAGGCTCAATGTACTGCTACCTCTAGAAAATGCTGAGTTGTATAGCTGTCCTTCCTGACAGAAGGAAGGCCTTGTCATCACACAGCACATATCAAGCAACACTGCAAATGGTACAATACTAGGCACGGCCAGAGAGAAAGTGCACATGATATGCTTATTAAAAAGTTGTCAAGGGCCGCCTGGATGGCTCAGTTGGTTAAGCGTCCAACTTCAGCTCAGGTCATGATCTCACGGTTTGTGGGTTTGAGCCATGAGTCGGGCTCTGTGCTCACAGCCCAGAGCCTAGAGTCTGCTTCAGATTCTGTGTCGCCCTCCCTCTCTTCCCCTGCCCTGCTCATGCCCTCTCTCCCTCTCTCTCTGTCTCTCAAAATGAAGCATTAAAAAAATTTTAAGTTGTCAAATGTACAAATATAATGTCATTCAATTTCTGATCCCATTCATTCTACCAACATTTGTTGAATGTGACCCAGCTAAGGGTCACAGAGATACATAAAACTTGTCTCTGCCCTCAAGGAGTTCAGTTTAGTGGAAGAGATGTATGTGTAAAGAAGTAATATAATATGGTCTGTGCTGTAAAACACAAGCCTGCACAAAGTGCTTGGGAATGCAGAAAAGGGAGAACTCCACCTGAGGGGAACAAGGAAGGCTGAAGAGGAGTGTTCCAAAATACGAGACTTGGGGAGGGGACGGTCATAGGGAGGACACCCCAGGAGGTGGAGGGATAAAAGGGTATGGCCTTTCCAGGAAACGGTACAAAATTCTGACTGGTTGTAACTTAGTGTGCCCAGTGAAAGATGAAGCAGGAAAGGTGGGAAGTGGCTTGAAACTGAAGAGACTGTGTGTACCTTGCTAGAGAGTTTGAACTTTTATCACATAGGCAATAGGGAAAATCAAAGGAAGTTTTAAGCAGGGGAATGCTATGGTCACAAATAAGTGTTATGATCCGAGTTCCCCTGCCTCCTAGCTGCGACTTTGGGTATGTCACCAAATCTCTAAGCATTAGTGTCTTCATCTATAGAGTGGGGTTGATAACGGTACCTGCTTTACAGGGTTGATGTGAGGAGTAAATGAGCTACTGTATGTAAAGCAATTAGCATAGCGC